CGCTCTACCCCTACTCATCTTACGCAAAGCCCCCACGACCTCGTCGACCCTAATGCGCCTGCAGTACCCTAGTGCGGTGTATAAATATTCACAACTTCCCCCTAACCTACAACCTTAATGCTCGACCTTCACAATTCCCTGTCAAGGGCCATGTCCTCAGTAATCCTAAGTCGCGCCAAGTCCTGTCTGATTACCTCTCCCCAATACTTCTTAGGTCGCCCTCTACCTCTCCTCGTGCCCACCACAGCTAGTCGCTCACACCTCCTCACCGGAGCATCAGTGCTCCTCCTCTGAATGTGCCCGAACCATCTGAGTCTTGCTTCCCGCATCTTGTCCTCCATGGGGCCCACGCCTACCTTCTGTCGAATATCTTCATTCCTAATTTTATCCATCCTTGTATGCCCGCACATCCACCTCAACATCCTCATCTCTGCTACTTTCATCTTCGGGACGTGTGAGTTCTTAACCGGCCAACACTCAGTCCCATACAACATAGCCGGCTAACCACTGCTCTATAAATCATTCAAAACACCAAAAGGTTCAAATCATTCAAAAACTTGTCCTGCAGTTTCCAAATATTGAAAACCCTTCTTACATCTGCATGATACAACCTGTAATTGGCTGAGCAGGCAAGCAGCACAACAAATTCTTGAAACATAAGAAGCACTAATCATTGTAATAAAGTTGCAAGGATAATTGCTTCTGGAAGAGGACAAGGACCATTAGATAAACTATATAATATTTTTTTTGGTAGCAAAAGATATCTATTTAAACACTAAGCAGAAGTTAGCCCAGAGGGCATAACAGAAGTTGTAGCAGCACTCATAGAGTCCCTGCTAGTACTGAAAGTAGAGATATAGCTACTTATGGAAACATAGTCATTGCCAAGACTTGCCAATTTAGTACATAAACTATTCGAAATACTCTTAGGAATTTTTTTTCCTTCCTTGTCTGCTGTTAAAGCTTCAATAACAAATGCTAGGGGATATGGGTACATCCTGATTAATTGGTCGGAAAGCTTGTTACCCTCCTTCGACAAGAGGTCTGCTACTTTATTTCCTTCCCGGAACCGATGCTTGATTTCTGGGTTCCTTAACTGTATCTCCTTTAAAATGCACATAAAGTACTTTATAAAAAAAACTTTTATAAAAAGATGCACATTAGTAATTTGTTTATAGGAAAAAAAAAACTTATTTGCGTTTTTTGACAAGGAAAAGAAATGCAGATAAGTATCTCAACGAGAATCTAGATTATCTGCCTTTACTTCCCACTAAAACCTTGGCTTATGAACTTCCTCTCTAGATTGCCGAAGACTGCAAGGCAACATGAAGCCATTTGGGTGATTATTGATCAGCCAACCAAGCCAGCACCTAGGATTCAAAGTTGCCAGTTTTTAGAACTCCAGCACACTGGAAGTATATTATCTTTCTCGGATTATCAGCTAGACAACAGTTAGGTAGAAAAGGGGCTCAGCATTCGTAATAGGTGCTCTCTGCGCGAGAAAGAAGCAGAGGATGTAAATCGCCTTCTTCTGCACTGTCAAGTGACCAAACAGATCCGGGACATGTTTCTTAATCCATTTAGAGTGTTCTGCATAATGCCAAAAGCAGTTAAGGAACTTATATGGTGGTGGTCTAGAAGGACATTGGAAAAATACATCAAGAGCCATAGCTCTACTGACTCTACCATCCTCCTGCGCATTTGCTGGATAATTTGGCTGGACCAAAATCACAGGTGCTTTGAAGGAAAGGCTGAACCAATACACAATCTTAAATATAAGGTCTTGTATTTTCTGGCTTTTTTATGTAAATTCTGAAAAGTTATGACAGGCACAGTTTTTTAGAATTCCAAAGCTCCCCCCATTTGTAATAGGAATTGAATTTCCGCTTGTACATACTTGCACCTACTTGGTGCAGTTTTACATACATAAAATGCTTTATTTACCAAAAGTATCTCAAGTCAGATTAGGTTAACTGTTATATCTCCACACTCAACCAAATTACACGAGATGCATAAACAAGTGACTACACGGAAGGAATAACTCAGATCGGATGATAGGACAATGATTAGATGTAAACATATTCTGGTAAAACAATAAGAAACAGAGAGATGAATACAACAAAGAAGTCAATATACTCTAAAGTAAATAGTTATTAATGAGTAATTAGCTACCGAATTGACCCCAATGCGTCAGTGATTACTATTAGGCTTCATAATTCCGTCGGTCTTCTGAGTGGCCTTAATACCTCCATTGGCACCACACGCCGTCCCATAAACAGCTATACCTAAGAAATATTTGAGGTCCCCATGTCATCCACATCCACAGTCTACCATCCTCATTGTCCCATATATTAACCTACTAGCTCTAGTATCAAGAATCAAATGCTCACAACCTCTAAAATCCTCATCTCTACGCAAATATTGTGTTACTCATTCTGATCTGTATCTCTTTCCTTACTTGTAGATCCTCATCCCAGAAAAATAAATACATAGAAACTAAAGATACATGTAATTACAAGCAATTCAAGACCTGTATATCAAGAGTTTCATAGCATCTGAAAGGATCAAAATAAAACATGCATGTATTTTCTTAAAAATCTAAAAACAACAAGGGTGAAATATGAATCTATTAGGTTGCAACTATATCGTGCAAAACGGAAGGCAAATACAATCCTCTACAATGAGTAGTATTATTCAATCCCTACATATTAAATAAGCAACAAAAAAACCCAGAAGGAAGCCACACCTCATCATTACTATTTCAAGCATTTGCTGATCCGTTGCATTAGGTGGAGCCTTCTCACCCTTTGTCTGCTCAGTGAAAGCTTGCAACATTCTGCAAATCAATATCAAACCAATATCATTGTAACAGGTTTATCCCATAGCACTAAGTACGTAAGAGAAATCGGTTTAGCACTTAAGAGAAGAAGACAAGGCAGTAACCATTAAAAGAGTGAAAGAGAACAAGCACTGCTAGACTAAGTTACTCGGACGCGGGTGCGGATCTAGACGTCGGATCCTTCGAGATGTAAATTCTAAGATTCGGGGATACAGATTCTAGTAAGGATACGGGTGCGGGGATCTGGTTAAAAATAACTCAAAAAAATAAAAATAGAAAAATATCCATAAATGGTAATCCCCAAGGTTATTTCAGATCTTCAAGGGGGTTAAGGCAAGGTGACCCCTTGTCCCCGTATTTATTTGTTCTAGTCATGGAAGTATTTAGTAGAATGCTGAAATAATCAGAGCATCTGGGCTGGATTAGGGGCTTGCATATTGGTAGAAGAAATGGAGTAAACTGTAATATATCCCATATTTTGTATGCAGATGATACCCTTCTGTTCTGTGAAGCAAAGAAAGAACAATTCCTGTATCTTAGAGGGGTTTTCCTAATTTTTGAAGTTGTGACAGGATTGAGAGTAAACCTAGCAAAGAGCAGCTTATACAGCAACAAAAACAACAACTACCCAGTAAAATCCCACCAAGTGGGGTCTGGGGAGGGTAATGCGTACGCAGACCTTACCCCTACCCCGATAGGGCAGAGAGGCTGTTTCCGATAGACCCTCGGCTCAGGAAGACGGAAAGCAATAAAAAAAACAAGAAAAGACAATTCATTAGTAACTCCAGTAGAAACCGTAATAGTAACAGAAGCATAACAACCAAAAGATGAATGACATGCAATAACAGTAACGAGTAACCAGAGCAGCTTATACAGCATTAACGCAAATCACTGCATAGATGAAATAGCTGAAAAAATGTGCTGTAACGTGGAGCAGATTCCTACTACTTATTTGGGACTCCCTTTGTGTGCTAGGAGAAATGATCAAAGGATTTGGCAGGGGGTACCGAATAGGTGTTCTAGTAAGTTAGCTCCATGGAAAACGCAATATCTATCTCTTGGAGGTAGACTCACTTTGATAGGAAGTGTGTTGGATGGGATCCCAACCTATCTGATGTCTCTGTTTCAGTTGCCTGTGAAGGTGGAAAAGAAATTGAACACCATTAGGAGTAACTTTTTATGGGAAGGAAATGCAGAGAAAAGAAAGATTCATCTTGTCAAATGGCATAAGGTGATGACTAATAAGAAGGGAGGAGGCATGGGGGTCAGGGACTTGAGATTACACAATAAAAGCCTACTATATAAATGGTTGTGGAGGTACAATGATGGAAAAGTAAGCACCTGGAAGGATTTGATAAACGCCAAATACGTAAAGAGAGATGGTTGGTGTCCCCCTATGTGTCAAAGTTCTTCAAAGGGTGGTATTTGGAGTAACGTCAGTAGATTGCTGGGCAATGGTGTCAGAATCAAATTTTGGACTGATGTGTGGATGGGGGATGTAAGTTTGAAAATTAGATTCCCTACCTTGTACAACTGCTCCACCAATAAAGCACAATCTGAATTTTATTCTCCTAGTGGGTGGCAGCTAAATTATAGGAGAGATTTTCATGATTGGGAGTTGGAAGAAGTTGGACAATTATTTCAAATACTGCAGACAGTGGTGGTTGAAGAAGATAAAGAGGATGCCATGGTCTAGACAACTAGCAATGACATGAAGTATTCTGTCAAGAGTGGTTACACTCTTCTCCAAAAACAATCTGAGTATTATGTGATGAATTGGCCATTGTGGTGTCATTTGGAGTCTAATTGATGGCTGGCAAGGGCAAAAGATATCAAAGTCCCAGAAGCAGCTTCGGAGGACCATTCCCCTATTGCATTTTCTGGACCATTTCGGCAGAAAGAAACAGTGTCTGTTTTGAGAATAAAAAGAACAATATTGCTAGTCTCAAAACTTTATGTCTGCATAATCTATTTTTTTGGTGTAATAGGTGTTTATTAGATAGTATGGATCAGTATCTGGAATTTTTGGATTTGTTGGGAAAGATGTAATAGAGTGCTCTCTGTAGGTGCTGTCTGCCATGTTTTGTACTTCTTTGTGTACCTTCTTGGTAAACTTTTTATTAATAATACTTTGCCTTATAAAAAAAACAAATCTCTAAATTACAAGAAATTTTGTGGAATACTTGCGTATAACTTGTAAAGTGTGGATTTCTTTTTTATTCTCAAGTTATAGATACGTAAAGAATTGATTTCCTAGATAAGGTATGCTATTTTCTTTAAATTTACCCTAGTTTTGGTTCTGAAATTGTATCTCGTCTCGAATTTTTCCATCCGTCGTGGTCAAAGTACCCAAAACTATTTGACCAGATCCAGTACGGATCCCATACCCACACCTATACTAGTATCGTGTCGACACGGGTGCGGCACCTAAACTGCCGTGTCGAAGCAACTTAGCTGCTAGAGCATCATATTGACCATAAAGCAGCATGGTGTTTCTCAACAAAGATCACGCAAAATATTCTACAAAAAAATGTTGAAAGAAAATGCTAATAGAATACATAGCATTTTTCGGCCAAAACAAACTGGAGAAACATCTATTACAGAGGAGTTACAGCCACATAGAGCTTCTTAAGAGCTTATCCAAAAAATAAATTAAAAACATATAGCTTCTTAAAAAAATATATAAAAGAGCTTGTCCAACTTAGAACCTTCTTCTCCCGGTAAGATTACTTCTGTGTCATTGCTAAGAGTATTGAGCAACAAAAACAGTTCAAAACCAAGGAGTATATGGCTTGTATGGAAGTCCAGTAACTTATCAATATTTTTTTTTTGATAACCGCACTTATCAATATTTATTTCAGATAAAAAAAATGTATGTACAAGTATAATAAAAGCAAGCTAAGAGTATTGAGCAGCAAAAACAGTTCAAAACCAAGGAGTATATGGCTTGTATAGAAGTCCAGTAACTTATCAATATTTTTTTCAGATAAAAAAAATGGATTTACAAGCATAATAAAAGCAACTCATTCGCAAAGCATACTACTGTATCTTGTGACCTATCTGAGTTTGCATATTGAGCACAAGGCGTAAACGAAGTTATAGTTGACTAAACTAACCTATGTAGAGAATCAGCAGTTAACTGCACTTCTTCAGGTTCCATTGCTCCCTTCTGCCTCTTCCGGAAAGTGTAGAAAAGATCGTCTCTAATAGAGAGAAGCTGGTGAAAACAAGAGCTATTTAGCACAAAAACCAATTAACACAAAACCAAATATAAGATCTCGCCTTAACTAACCTGCTGAACCTACTCATGTCAGCAAAAAAAGACAAAAATTAGAAGAGATTAAGAGTTTCATCATTTCAAAAGTCCATCAGAATGCAAAGATCATTAAAATATGCTAGATATGCTATCTCATTCTCCGAGAATAAATGAGAACTAAGATGTAAGATGGAAACAAAACAGACGAACACGAGTTAAAGAAGTGTTTCTTAGCAAGTATGATCAGACAAACAGAAATAGAAAAATCAAGGAGTAAATATTCTCCTAGTGTAATATGCATGTACAATGTAAGAATCTACATATCCAAGAAGATTAAAAAAATCGAAGTAATCTTTACTTGGCATCAGCAAGAAAGCAATCAATATTGTCCAAAAGTTACAGATTAATATGATATTAAACATTAATCAAGAATTTTATGCTCTCATTAAAACTTGAAAAAGTCCTAGATCTATGCGATCAGGAAATATGTGTTCTAGTCCTACTTATGTGCATTAAAGATGTAAAGGATTTACACAGCCAACACAACAAATTTGGCATTGAAGCATAGTTGCTTGATTGATATAAGAACACAGCTTACCGGTTGCTCTACATGGTCATTCCAGAAGCTACGTGTTGAGTCCTTTGCCTCACGAATCCAATTGTCAATGTCAGAGCTTCCTACTAAACTGCTATGGCGAATAAACCATAATGAACAAATAGAGATGCCGACAATCCCACAGGTATACGGTATCCAGTAACGAGTAACTCTCCTGGGCTTTCGGTGAATTGTAACCTTCAATATCAATGGTAAACAAACAGTCCTCAAAAATCTGATTAAAAAAAGTCCTCAAAGGAAGAGTCAAACTACATGCTTTTCCTACAGATTTGTGTATGGGAACCTTTTATTAAACTTATTGGAACCAAAAGCCTTTAAGGAAGCATTATATTTATGAATTGCCACAGCTTAATTGTCCTGATCTAGCCAACCACTAAACTTCCTTCTGTCTAAAGTTAGCAGCAAACCCAGCATCCAAAAAATACGAGAATATGAGTCCTATATGTGTGTAATTACAACCCAAGAGCCAAAAGAAAGAAACAAAAAGAAAAGAGAAGCATCAGAGAGTAAACCCGGCAAGATATAGATTAAGATTTAAAACTGTGATAAAGAAAATAACAAAGCTCTTTTGCAAATCCAGATTTGTGTTTATTCACTTCTGTTTCTTTTGCTTCGGTAATAACTGATCAAGTTCTAGTCCACTTAAGTTGCTCGCTTTGCTTCATCACCCTCATTTTCAACCTCTTGTTTTTCACTTTCTTCCCTCATCTTTTATCAACTTTGAACAGAAACCTCCTAGTACTTTACTAATGAAAGCCAAAAGACAGCCCTAATATCAGTTTAAACATCACACTCTACCAAGCACCCGTTTAAAGATAAAAAGATATTGGGATCATAATTTCCAGACATATGACAGCAATGTGCTGCATTGAATAGAAGCAAAATCCCTTGTTTCCCCCTTCAATAAGATAGCCTCCTGATAACTGCAGCAAACATCAGTTATGCCAATTTTCTTCCACAATGTTACCTAATACAACCTAATCATATAATTCTGACATCTAAAATAAACAAGTTTCACTAGATGCAAACCAAGCATAATCCACTTAAATAATAACTTCTAAGACAAACAACCTCCACCAGATTCAACCCAAGTACAATCCACTTCATTAAAACTTGATAATTCATAATTAAGATAAATCTTGGCAATTAAAAAGAGATTTTAATTTGAGAGTGACAAATCAGTTGGATTTCTAAGTAAGATACTATTGTCCATTCATGTTCTTGTATTCTTTACTCTGCGGACAGATTTATGGGTCTGCTTTGTACCTTTACACAGTATAAAATCATTAGGCTATCTATCCAAGACATGCCATTTAATAAAACAATTGCATGATATTGGTATGGGAATTAAAAAACCGATATTTAGGCGACGCACACAGCGTGCTCGTATCAAATACTTGGGAGACGCTACTATATTCATACAAACTATGTATTTTACCTTTCTTGAATTATTTATTTTGTGACATGCGCATCCCTCTACCGGGATACATAAATCCTTCAAGGGGGCACCAGATAGAAAATTTTGAAAAATAAAGTTGTGGGGTGATTTGTAACAACAAAAGTTTAGAAATAAAAACCCTATTGAGGGACCTAAATATACAGTTTTTGAATTTGATTTGAATTCTGCATGTTTGAGGAATATCTGTATTCGAATTTTCTTTCCATAGTTGAACTTTATGAATGCTTTTTGTACAAAATGTTGGTTAGAAATAAGGCCATGGAGATTTGAGAACACAAAACAAATGATGTATTCCAGACTAATACTGTATCTGGAATTTTACAATTTTCAGGACTTTGTGTTGTATCCCAACCACATACATACTAATGTATGTACTTCAGCTATGCAGATCTTAGTTGACAACTAATTTCAAGGAATGATATGTACGTTATACAGCATCCCAGATAATTTGATGACGATGAAACTAAATTGAAAGCTAAAACATTAGAAGATGAACAGAGCTTTAACATAAAAAGATAAAGTTATCTCAATAAAAGTCAGTAGGGAACTCTTACAATGGCAGCTAAATACGTGTTCAATCTGTCTATATTTTGGTAGATCAGACTGATGGCATCTCTAATCTCACAATCAGTCCATCGAGAGCCTTCTTGATTTACTTCTGGAAGTTTCTCGAATATCAAGGGAAAAGAATAGCTTTCATCAACAGAAGAGCTTTGCTGCAGAATCAATCAGTGGACAACGTCAAATACAAATATTTGACGAACATGTAGCTAGCAAAACAAATGTCATTTTCAAACATTTTAGCCGGGAAACCTTATCATTACACGATTTCCCTCACCTGGCGCATTGCATGGAAATGGCCAATTGATGCCTCCAACTTAAGAAATAGATCATTCATTTCAATCAATAATGTTGATAATGACCTCTCAGGATCCTTAACCAATTCCTCACCAGCTTTGTCAACCTTCATATAGACCTATACATATGCCAGGAAAGATATAAATTGAGAATTACCATACAGCATTGAAATATTCTTAAATCATCAAGCTATGCAACATTAAACCGACTCCTTAGAGAGATTATTTCTTCCAAGAACATCCAACTAAGAAGCAAGATCTTAACTTGATAACCCAAAAAAAGAAGTGAACACCAGTCTGTGGAATGCTATAGGACATGATGCCAAAACCAAACTCTTTTCTCTCTAGTAATCTATATATCGACCAATCAAATTAAGTGAAAATTATTCAGTAAAACTCATGTGAAATAAGATAAAAAACATGCATATGTAAAGATGCATACCTTTAAGTTTCAGGTTCAGATTAGTGATTACTTTTCTTATATCAAATTTCTAGTTTCTTATTCTTAATTGCTAATATATGTGCCATAATGTTTCCTTAGCAATCAATACAGAACTTAGTTTTACACGCTACATATTATTTGTTATTGCCCTCTCAAGATAGAGCCCTTGGGCACTGAGATGTGCGCCTACGCAATTTGGTGCTGCACTAAAGTGCCATCTAAGCTAAATGAAGTGCCCAACCTATGGTACACATAGCAAAGAGCTTTTAACTAGAAAGACAAAACTCATTTCAATAATAGCCATCTTACACCGCTTATGATAAGTGATTAAAAACATATTATTTATTCCAGAAAGTGACATATTTTATACGGACAATTCCTAATGAAGAGATATAAACGGAGAAAAGGTTATGAGAAATTTATGGAAATCGTCTCACAGATATATTGCAACTATAAAAGCAAAAAAATAGTGCGTAAGGCAGAGCAATGTGTTTGGTATGAAGGCGGGGATATGGACTGATAGAGAACGGCACTGCAAAATGTAAAGTAGACTAAAGAGGAAAATCAAAATTGAAGGATCATCTTGTGGACGAATTACAGTATCCAACTGGACCCTAAACTTGAAAAGCTTCAGTTCCTACCCTCTTGGTTAGAAGCTCAGCAACTCTTAAGGTATCCAAAACAAATGGCTCAGATTTTCATTTCCTTTCTACACAACCATAATAAATGTACATAAACCAGTATGGGATGAGAAAACGAATAAAGGGAACACTTTTTTCTTTAATAACGGGAACACTCTTACAGCATCAAAGAAAAGATTGATGGAATAAACTACCAACTAATGTTATATGATTATTCGTCACTTGATAAGCGACTAACCTGGGCCAAAAATGTAGCCAAACGATATCTTAAGCTACTCAAGATATTTATCCTCTCGGATATATAAGAAGATGCTAAACAATATGTATGTTGCACCCCAGAACCTTCACCAACACAATCGCGTATCAGCTGAGCAGTGCCATTGAGAAATGCAGACGGTCCTCTCTCACATACCATGAAGTATGCTTTTAGAGCATTTGATCCCTGAAATTGTACAAACATAACAATTCAACTTGAATTCTGTTTGACAAAAATATTGTATAAGCATATAATTTCAAACAAACAAAATAGCTAACCTCTGCTTTAGATTGCCAATAATCTAAGTTCTTCTGGACATAATGCAAATTTAGAAAGAGACACTCCATGATGTCCTCCAATGTACCAACAATTTTAGATGCCTCACATACAACCCTGCATATCCCCAGCTTAGAAACTTTTCTTATGAACAAATTGTTATCTCATCCTTCACTAATAAAGATATATTTTTAGAAATTTTCACCCCCCCCCCACCTATATATAGATATATAGATAATGCACATATAAAACCCATACGGATATTTATATTTATATTTATATATCCTATCCGTGGATAATGCACATATGAAATGCTAAATTTAGAGATTTGAGAGGACTTACGTGGAAGATTCAGGGGAAGAAGAGGAGGAAGGGAAAGGAAGAGGGAGACAAGTCTTCCTACGACGTCGTTTAATGGCGCCTGAGCTGCTGCCACGGTAGAAATTGGAAATCCTGTTGACAAAATTAGTCGCCGGGAAGTAGTTGGAAATTCGATTCAAAAGGTAGTCAGTGTAGACGGAGATAGTAGTAGGTTTTAGGCCCATTCCGGCGTTTTCCGGCGGCGGAGAATCCATTGCTGAGTTCACTGAGTTGACCAACGCCGGTGATCGGGAAAATGAGTACGGAGAGCTTGTGTCGAGTTAGCTGAATTTAAAATACCTGAAAAAACACTTTTTAAATGTTGGGCTAAATTTTAAACAGTGTTTGGATAGAAATTGGAAAAATAGCACCTTTTTCATTTTAGAAAAGTAGATGTTGCAAAACTTTTACTCCCTTTGTCCTATTTTATGTGAACATTTACAATTTCAAAAGTCAAAAAGAAGTTTTGTACCATGCTTTTGATTTTAAATTATTAGTTATTATAATTTATAATATTTTTTACGATTTCTAAATATATATAAATTTTATTTTTAAAAAAAAAATAAAGATTCTATGTTTAATTTCGCATCATTTGACCCGTACTCTAAATTGTATCCTAATTGGTAAAAACTTATCCGCACCGGGTGTTTACACTAAATCAATAGATATATGATTATGTGTCTTGCATATGAACTCAATCACTTAACCATGATAAATTACATGCATTCTCATCTAATTAAATTAATTAACCATAGTGAATTAATATAGTTTGGTGTAAACATCCGGTGTGGGTAAGTATTTACCTAGGAACGGATGGAGTATTTCAGAATTAGTGCAATTATGAAAATTAATTTATGTTTTAACTCACAATAAGTTGTAATATTTTTTCCGAAATATACGATATAAGGTTTTTTTAAGCAAAAAAAGCATAAGATTTTTGAATAAATCCCAATTATTTAATTAAATAAAGTATAGAATATTTATTATAATTAGAATAAATGCTGTAATTGAAACATTGAACAAATGATAAAATTGCAAAAGTTGAAAGAAAAGTACAATAATTTTCCTTCGCTCGCGGCTTGTTTGGATGGTTGTTACCTATTATATGTGTTGTTACTTTAAGAAAAAACTACTAGTTGTCACACCTCCTTTTTGCGCGCTCGCCCCGAAGGGTAAAATGCGCGAGGGAGTTTTTTTATTTTAAGTGACAATATTCGAAATGAGATTATTTATTTAATTCAGAGTCACCACTTGGGAAAGGTTTGGCTTTTGGTGTCCCAAGTCACCGGTTTATCTTGAATCCCAAATCGAGGAAATTTTCGACTTTCCAAATGAAGTCTGCGAACCAGAAATTCTAAGTAAGGAATTCTGTTGACCCGAGGGAAGGTGTTAGGCACCCACGGATCCCGTGGTTCTAGCACGGTCACTTAAATTGTTATAATGACTAAATATCTGATTTTAATACATGTTATAACTTGTGTGCTTTTATTAAGTTTGAACCGCTTTTATTATTATTATTTTTTATGGAATTGCAACGTCGTGAAAATGCATTCCGAACCACGTCACAATCAATGCGCCCGTGGTTGTTAATACATTCCGACTCCGTTGAGATTTGGATTTGGGTCACATAAATGCGAACCCGAATTTAAGAATGTAATTTAATTAAATCGCGCCTAAAGAGTCTAACGCGTTATTATCTTTGGGGAAGTTAGTGAAATTCGCTAAACAGTCCGTCCCGAGAAATCTAAATATTTATTACGACCAATTATTGAGGGTCCCGCAATTTGCATTTGTATTTGGCGAGGCTCGTCTCATTTTTTTTTAAAGGATAAACCTACAGTGACTACATTTTTTCTATTATGTTTGTCTCTAAAAATGAAAGAAGAAAATATACGCTAATTAAATTACATGCTTGGCCAGCTCCGGCCTCTTATTAATTATTAGATTATAAAAGATGTTAATGGAAAATTGCACTCGAATTTGTTAGGCGGGGAATTATTTCATACCTTATTCCATGAGCGAACGTGCCTTTTAAAAAATATGCATACAAGATTGATAAATGTTAATTCACGCTAAACGTTCTCCAAGTTGAACTTAAACTAACTCGTTTTTAATGAGATTAATGGAATTAACTACTATAGGATGTTATTAATGGGGTCCAAACATTGTCCTATAAACTGCCTAATGGAATCCGATAGAGTTAAAACTCAAATGATTAAAGCTATGTTGCATTTGGCAAGGTTAGAAGCAGTCTGCCCTATATGTACAAAATATGACTAGAGATGAAGTCTAATTATCGATATACTAATTACTTGTGCATTCCACAAATTACATAACTATATCATGTATACAACTAAACAACTATAGATAACAGTATTAAACAAACTAAGTTTTAATTAAGTACAAACTACCTAATGCATTTTTCATTGAGTCATAAACCAAAAAAAAACTACATAAATCCACTAACATTTTATAAAACTACAAGTACAAAACCAAGTGATTAAACTCCTTCGCGCCTTTTATTTCATGCTCAACTCTACTATTACATCAGTGTGTACCTGGATGTTGGACACAAGAAGGAAATGGGGTCAGCAGGAACAGTAGTAGCATACACAACAACAACAATAGGTTTGGCAACACAGCAAAACCAGCACAACCAGGAACGACAGTAGCAAGAATTTCAGGAGCAGATTAAAACCAAGAGGAAAAAGCAGTAGCTTGAAGAACAGTACTCGCAAAATCAGCAGACAAAACAGGCTGCTAAATGAAGCCCAGCAGTGCAAAAAGATCACAGGCAGAGGCAATAAAACAGTAATTTCTGATTTTTGAACATTTGAGCAGAAAACCAACTGAAGCTCTTTGTTGTGAAACCTAACCTTAGAGTAGCAACATTCTGGAAAATTTCTCTCAACTACATAGCCTATATTTTGCTTTTAAGGCTCTTGGAACCTTTTTAAAATCCGGACTCCTTTGTTCTCCAAATCCTTTTAGTTCTAACTATGCTCTTTCTTTCTTCTATCTTTTCTGGGTTCTGACCTTTTTTCTGGTTTTAAGGTCTTGCTCTCCCCCCTTAATCCCCTGGAACCCTTCCATTTTTATAGCCCAAACTGATTTCATTCCACAGCCTGTTAAAACCCATTAAAA